CCATTACTTTCACCATCCTACTACAGCCAGATCTGAAGGCCTTTGCCGCATTCTGGCCATGCTGTGTGGCGCGTATCGCGTGGACGGGTTTTATGTTCTCTGCACGTAATAAGCTCGGTTATTAAGCATCCTTTTTTGGGGATGCCCGGTGGCCGAGGGGAAGACGTGTAGTGGCGTGAAGCTAGGCGATTAGGTGCCGTACGCGAGCGCCGGTTTGAGTCACGCACGCAGTACGTATTTACTATAATTAGACATAGTCTTTACCTTGCCGTTTATTCGGTGTTATTTGCTTACTTTACTTCCTATGTCGACAGCAACTATGAGTTTATATTGTCTCCTAGTTGATTGGAAGTAATAATGCTGTACTTATTTTTGTTCGTTCTTTTTACATTCTTAGAGCGTTATGGACCGTTTTATTTCTAAGTACGTGTGTTGGTTTCATGTTTGCTATGACGAGGAGCTTCACTCGTTTCAAGGCATGTCCGGTTAACACAGTAATGAACAGTACCCGCCTAGGCTCCGTTGCATTTCCAGCAATCACTCTGTGCAATTACAACAGACACCGAGCTAGTGCCATTAATGGCACGTGGCTGGAGCTCATGTTGAAAAGAACAAAATATGACAACGCTCAAGACATTGAGTGGTCTTACATCACGGCTAAGAAAGACAACTACAAAAACAGAACTGAACAGACAAGGAAATGGGCGCATCAGATAGATGAAATGCTAGTTTATTGTACATGGGCAACAGACACGGCATGTAGTGCCAGGAACTTTACTACTGTTATGACAGATTTCGGAGTATGTTACACCTTCAATCGGCACTTTAGCAATATTCTCAGAGTGAAACACCGAGGCAGTAGATACGGACTGTACCTAGTAATGAATGCCCAACAACATGAATATGTACCTCTGAATAACAACAATGGTGTCGGATTCAAGGTATGTATTACGTAGTAAAGTTAGGCAAGTTATACATGTCCTATGTTATAACGCTTGCAGTGTGTTGTAATATTTTACGTATGGAACTCAGTAAAGTAATATTTTGTTGGTTCCTCTCTATTGCTCTAATAGTACGTTCTTGTTCAGTTACTAAGAAAGTTCTGTTTCTTTGTTCCAAACAATCCCGTCTCGTTGCTTGTGATTACGTGTGTTATACAAACGTATATTGGTTGGTAATAGTTTGGTGAAAACCACTGTACATACCCATTTGTGGATATGTTTCATGCATTCACTTCCAATTTGCTAAATAGTTTGTAGTTTTGTTATCCCCATAGTAACCCTTTAACTAACAGTTGTTGTCGTGTGAACTTTATAGACATTCTACTGGTTTACATCTACATTAAATCATATATCTTTCCAATAACACACACCAAAAGCGATGGAAGGCGTCTGTGACGTCACGCACCCAAGATGACGAAACGCGTCTGTGACGTCAAAATGACGTTGGTTATTTCGAATTTCGTTTAACCTTATAAACAATCCCATTTTTGACAGCAGATCAAAACAACTTCGACGCCCCTCCACTCTTTTACGTCACTGAATTTAATAAATTATCAATAATGAGTTTAACAATAATGATAAAAAATAGGTTGAACTGTCACTCAGTTAATTAACTAATTATTGATTGTTTTATTTAATTGCGTCACCAGGTGTTGATACATGCACAGCATGATACTCCTCGTGTAAGTCAGCTGGGTATGTCTGTGTCACCCGGAATGGATGTCACGATTGCGATGAGAATGAAAGAGGTATGTGCATGCTGAAAACGCCTCTTTAAATCGGTGTAAGATAGAAGTTGAAAATAATGTATTAAAAGATTACACATACGGTTATGATCTTGCATGAAAAGCTTTATAAGTAAAACACCATTCAAACTAAAAATCATGAATCGCCACTCTTGAAGATAAGAACCCAAAATATTATATAACTAATTATTTTGCAAATAAACTTAGTATCAGCTATATATATATATATGGAACACAATCTCATGGAACCGACTGTTTTGTTTTACACCACTCAATCTGTTGGACATGTGTCAAAAATGTATATCTCAAACGGTGTATTTATAGACATCATTTTAAAAGAAATGTTTAAAGTTGTGTGAGTGAATTATCAATGTACATGAATCACAAGCCTCCAACATAAAACTCACGTGATTTCCAATTTCAATTACGTAAACACTAAATAAGTAACCGGATAGTTTTCATACCTGTCATGTCTTTATCACTAATACCCCGTAACTGTTATTGATTCGCAGACAAAAGTGTTGAAATGCAGTGATACACCATTGAAGTATTTCGAT